ACCCCACTTGAAGGTTACTCCTTTCTTTGTTAGACTTCGGAGCGGCTCAGCAATCGTTGCAAGGTCTGGGATAAATCTAGCACTAAAGTTCACTAATCCTAGGAAGCTGCGTACTTCTTCAGCATCTTGTGGCTCTCGTGCATTAACTATTGCTTCAATCCTGGACTCTGTTGGGCCAATTCCTTTTTCAGAAAGCAAATACCCCATAAAGGTAAGTTCTGAYATCCTGAATTCGCACTTTTCTCCGTTAAGGGTCAGCCCCTTGTCCCTGATGCAGTTCAGTGTCTCTCGTAGCCTTTTGTCATGTTCTTCAACTGAGCTCCCATACACAATTATGTCATCATAAATGTTATCAGCACCTTCAGTGCCAGCTAGGACTTGTCTAATTATGTGATTGTATAATTCTGGTGCAGAACTGATACCGAACATAAGTCTCTTATAGCGGTACAGTCCCTTGTGTGTAACGAAGGTGGTGATATCCCTGGAATTCTCGTCCAATTCAATTTGATGGAAGCCCCACTTCAGGTCTAGCTTGCTAAACACTTTACTGCCATTTAGGTTGTATAGAATTTCATCTACWGAAGGTWTAGGGTGACGTTCCCTTACAATAGCCTCGTTCGCCTTTCTCATGTCTACACAAAGTCTAATGTCATCCCCCTTCTTTGGCACTACTACAACTGGACTTACCCATGGTGTTGGACCTGTAACTGGTTCAATAATATCAGCATCCACAAGTTCCTTGAGTTTCTTTTCCACTTTCAGTCTTACACCAAAAGGTACTGGTCTCTGCCGCTGGGCTACTGGTTTAACACTATCATCTATGTGGAGTTTGGCCTTGAAATCTCTGAGTTTTCCAACTCCCTCAAAGCACTCCTTGAACTCAGTAAACATAGAAGACTGTTCATCAACACTATTTATAACAATCTTTAGGACTTCCAGCTTTTCACAGGTTTCTCTGCTCAATATTGGAATTGCTTTCTCTTTAACTACAACAAAACAAACAGTTATTGTCTTATCCTTGTAACAAAGTTCAGCTTCAAACTCACCAACAGTACTGAGGGGTTTCTCTGAACCATAAGAAAACAGCTTTCTATTAGACTTCTTTGCCTTGCAAACAATTCCTTCACTCTTGAGTTTCTCCCATGTTTGTCTGTCAATAACATTACATGTAGATCCAGAATCCAATAATACTGCTTCAAGTTGAATTCCCCCAATGACAATGTCAATCTTTGGTATCTCCTTGTCTGCTGTAGTGACTGCAAATGGATAATCTGGCTGTTCAGTTACTTGACGAACTCCCTTACCTCCTTGATTGGAAGTACCTTCCTTTGACTTGGTCTTGCAACAGTTTGCAAAATGTCCCGTTTGCTTACATTTATTGCATACCTTGTTTCTGGCTGGACAGTTAACATCTTTTGCAAAATGTCCTTGTCTTCCACATCTGTAGCACGAACCTTTACTCGGTTTCTCTTCCTCTTTCTTCTCTTTTGACCTGAATGGTTGTTGTCCTGTTCCCCTTCCTTTGAGTGGTTTCTTACCAATCCAATTTACATGGCTTGGGCCTTGGTCTGAAGGGTTGCACATATTCCTTGCCTGTCGTTTTACGGCCTCAAATGTTCTTGCTGTATCTTGTAATTCCTTCAGAGTGAGGGCCTGTCCCTTCTCAAGAAGTTTGCGTCGAAGCTCGTTTGAACGGCAAGTTGAAATTATTTGATCTCTGATCTGGTCATTGGTCTGGTCGGCGTAGTTACATGCTTCTGCCTTACGCTTTAATCGTACTACATACTGGTCGATGGTTTCTTCTTCTTTCTGGGACATTTCCCGAAACTGGTGTCGCTCGTAAGGAATATTTACCTGAGTCACAAAGTAGTCGCTCAGGGCTTTCTYTGCCTTYGCGTAATCCTTCGGTCCTCCGGTATCTGGTAAAACGTAAAAAATATCTTGAACATCCGGTCCTGCTGAATGAAGAAGTAAAGCCCTACGTTGTATCTTGTTGTCATCTTTATCTGGAGCGATAATCAGCCCTTTTCCATCGGCATAAAGTTGAAAACTTCGAAGCCATCGCTTCCATTCCAGCGCCAAACTATTCGGGTCACTGTGTACATCAAACGGTTTTAATCCACCAATTTCTAGACTTGAAGATGCCATTTTTTWAAATTTTTTTATCCCAATTGAATGTTTATCATCCTCGTCGCCAATTGTAAAGTTCTAAATACCCAACACGGTATAACAAACTAGGCTTTTAATAAAGCTTCTTGTTCATAGCTTAACTGACTCTCTCTCACAACTTRATCATGCCATGTGTCTCTCTCTAGACCATAATACTTCGCTATACACACAGGGATCCCGACACTACACCCAGTAAAAGATGCACGTATCTAGGGTATTAAACAATTCTTTATTCCGTTTTACAAAGGCTAACAATGCTATAGAGCCGATCAAGTATCGAATCAACACTTTCAAAGCTACCAGGGTGAATCCTWTTAAAAATAGTAATAACTATYAAAAATCATTAATACAAGAGCTGCCGTTATGTATACATCGCGGTTTTGGCGAAACGATTCAAGCTTTAAAAAGCTTTTTAAAATACAGGCTGCGGATGGTTTGGACAATGTTTTTTAAACATTTTTATTTATCATCAAACAAATAAACTAACTACAAGTACATAAATTTACTAGGTTTTCCTTAATTTTAAAATACTGTACTTACAGCGTTTTTACTTTTCGATATATTAAACATTATATACAAGATTCAGAAACAAAAATCGACAATAATAGAAAAAGAAGAAGAAAAAAAAGAAAAAGAAAAATAAAGAAAAATAAAGAAAAGCAGAAAGAGAAAAGAAAAAATATTGCCTTTTACCTTATTTCAAGGCCTTTAATGATTTTTTCCCATTTTCTTAGATGTTTTTGTGTCTTATTTTTTGATTTTGCTATATTCCTTTCTATATTTTCATAATGTGTTAAAATATTTTAAAATAGTGACAGTGATGGTATACTACCTTTTTCTCTCGCTTTATACAATGACATCTTATATATCAAAATTATAAAATTAATTGTAATATCGTTTACTCCTAATATTATATTAAATTTACTAGGGACAGGTAACTGCACATTGAAATGTTCTAGCCAATCTCTGATGGTAAAATAAAAGTTTTTAGATTCAATGCACTCCACAAAGAGATGGTCAATTGTTTCCGGTACAAGAGAGCAGAAAGAACAAGAGGGGTAAYCAATCAATTTGAAACGGTGCAAATCGCGATTTAAATATAGGATATYATTTAATATTTTGTACTGAAACATACGTAGATACGTATCCATTGAAGTATTRTATATTCTATTATAAATATCATTCCAATTTAAGGGTTGATCTTGTACCATTCTTGCGCTTAAATGTTTTTGTGATGTAGGGGGAACGAATTTCATTTTAACAATTTCTGTGTAAATTTGATGTGTTTTAAGTTTTGCTTGGTGTACAAATTCGTTGTTGATTTTCAAACAGTCATTTTTCGAGTCATCTGTATTTTTCAAATACATTTTCCAACTATTAGGCAAAGAGTGAATTATTCCAGCCCATCGTATATAATCCTTATATACTTTTCCGAGTCATCTGTATTTTTTAAATACATTTTCCAACTATTAGGCATAGAGTGAATTATTCCAGCCCATCGTATATAATCCTTATTTTTTAGACCAATTGATTTTGCGTATATCCACTTAAATTCTCCATTGAGATCACAGAGATCTTCAATTTTATTGATTTTTAAATCTGAAAAGTCCTTATAGTATATTGAACTATCGCCTATTCGGATGTATCTATTATTCCATAAATGTTGCTGTTTTA